ATGTTTATCGCGCTGAAATCATGCGTTTTAAACCATATTAGTTTAAACTTCTGATATACGGTTTTCTGAGTGCAAACATCCAAAGCACACGGACAGAAAGCGGCTGTCACAGGCATGTGGGTACTAAACTAAGTTGCCCAAATGTTCACACAAAGAAAGAAGGCGTAACTTTTATTCTCGCTGTAGTATTGTTGTTGCCGCCGCCGTTTGTTTGGCCTTCCAAAAGAGGACACGACTAGAAATCAGTGGTTAAGTTGTATTTACAACACTGTTCCCGAACAGTTCAACCCAAATATTCAGATGTGCCCAGCGCATTTTATGGAGGACTGTTTCCTGATCCTGGTAGACTACAATGCCGGCTGTTCTGACTCACAGACTGCAAGTACGTTATTCATATTTAAAGGATTTGCCACTGACGATTCAAACATGAGTTTTGAGCAGTGTAGAGTAGCACTTGTTGAAAATATCTTTCAAGTGGCAAGAAAATACATTTCCAGCAGTTTTACAGTAGCCTGCATTTATGTAGTTTTATTGAGTTTTTCTTCAAATTTGACATTGTGTTATTTTAGTATCGAGATACTATATTTCAATTTGAGTTATTTTAGTTTTAGTTATTTTATTATAAGTTAGAGTAAATAAAAATGAAAAACGTTGTTGAAAATGTTTTGAAATAAAATATGATTTTTTTTTCAGTTAACATTTATGTCAAGTATGCAAATGTATATATATATATATTTATTTTTTTCTCTATATGCTGTATCTCAAAAGCTTAGGGAAAATTTGAGTCCTAGTGAAATCATCACATGAATACAATACACCAGAAAGCAACCCTGCTTGAGCTGTAAAAATTTTAAATTTTTGAGACTTTCTATAATATTTAAGTTGACCTGGACACTAGTATCTGACCCTTTGCGGAGCTGTGCATCAGATGCCCCATGTGCTTGCTGTCTTTCAGAGGAATGAGTACTTGTTCGCTGTGGTGAAGGAGGATGCCAATCAACTCCTGCTTGGCCTGCGTTTCTCTAAAGAGAAAGTCCATCTCATCTATCAGGGCTCAATGGGGAGGGAACGTCTCAGCTTTAAAAGAATCCACCTGGTGGACAACCGCTGGCACAGCATGGTGTTGGCCGTCAGTGGTCACCATGCCACCCTCACTCTGGACTGCGGCGTCCCTCTGGAACTGTGAGTCTGTAACGGCAGTAGAAAGACCCTATTCACTACAAGATATAGGCATATAGATGACCGGAGCTACATTTTGTTTTTTGGTTACAATTTCTTGGCCAAAAGTGCACATACTCTTGCAATGAATTCTTAAGCAATTAGCTACAAATTAAATGCAAATTTCATTTTATTACATGTTTTAAGAACAGTGAAGCACGGCATCTGTTATTTCTAGGGGCAGGATCTTTCCAAACCACAAAAATAGAATAGATTCTGCAACTAAATAAAATGTTGCAGTTTAAAGTTGAGTTCTGTGAGTAATGTACTTTCCCTGATGGGTTCCAGGGTCCATAAACAGCCATTTCCCTCTGATCTCAGCACCGATGGATCCAGGTTCCACATTGGAAGTCGAAGGAAGTGGAAAGGCCTGTTCTCTGTAAGATTTGCATTCTGATATTGCTAATTATTTTGCTTTATTTAAAATATATTAGCATGCATGCAAACATACCTGTTGGTAAGATGATGATCTGTCTTCTTTCTTAAGGGTTTACTACGCCAGCTTTTCCTTTTGCCCGGACCAGACGCAACGCCACGTGTTTGTCCCTCTTCCAAACCATCACTGGTTGAGCTTTCTGTCCCTACATTCCTGTCAAACTTGCCAGTGAAATCCCAAATGAATGATGTCTTGCTCCCTCCATATGGTAAAACTAAAAGATTTTAATTCAAATTATGTTACGGTTAAATATAAACATCCTAAAAAAAAAATATTCTATATATACATATATGATAAAGGCCATAATAAAAATGAAAACTGAGAAAATAAGTTGGTTAAACATATCAACATTGCCAATCCTAACATTGAGTTACAATGAAACATTACAAGTTTTTTTTTTCTATCATGACTGGAGCCATGGACAACATTTTGAAGAAAAGAACAGATCTGTGGTGTGAAAGACCATATCAATGACACATCACCCGTGGTCAGATTGAGTTATGGTCCCAAACTAAACATCTGACACTTGTTTCGCTCTGAAAAGGAAAACAGAGGTTCTGCCGCTTGCAGTGAGAGCTGTCAGTGATTGAGTGGGTGCGGGTTTACGCTGGCACACATCTCTGGCATGACAAACAATGCTGTGTTTATATCATTTGGATTGACAATTTAAATTAGCTAATGGCAACTTTGATCTAGATTACCTTGGTTAATACTTTAACACTCTCACAGCCTGAGCTGACTAGACAAATTGTTTCGCCTGTGATGAAACACTGAAACACTTGTTTCATATACATAGTCTCTTGTTGAGGTATATCCATTACAAATAGTCATCCAATTTCATTAACATGACAAATATATATATATATATATATGACTAATCCATTAATTACAGATTTCACAAAATACAATATAATTTATTGCAATTCAAAAAGAAATATTACTTTAACGTATGCATATTTGCTCAGTTTGTTTGCATTCTCACTTCAATGTTCAGAGATGGAGGTCCGTGTGACTCTGGGGTCTAAACCAGCATGCACTGCGGCAGAACTGGGACAACTCTGGTTTGACACTCTTAAAAGAGGCCTTTTCCTATGTGATGGTGCATACTGGCACTCTATGTTGCAAGGTAGGAAACTAAAGATCATTTTGTTTAAAAAATAACAATAGATTTTTTTTATTATTAATATCTTAGGTTTAAAACAAAATGCTTAATTTGAACTTTTATGATTATGACCTGTCAAATCAAATCAAATTTCTTGATATAGTGCTTTTCACAAAACACATTGTTTCAAAGTAGCTTTAGCGAAAATCATTTTCTTAATTTTTGTAATATATAAATATCTTCATGCCTTAGTCACATTTAGAAGATTAGAGCTGGGCATAATATAGTATATATTTTGCGACAACATAAAGAAAAAAGCAGTTGAGATAAGCTATATAATATATCACGGGTAGGCTAGTTCGATATACTTTGGCTTTACGTGAGTTTACTGTATGTATTGGAATAAAGTTGAATATTTGGATATATATCTTTATACTGTATCAATACTTTATACATAGAGGTCTACGATAGAGTTTCTGTGACAGTCTAAACAATCACACAACCAAGATTTGCTAGAGTCTGCCATTTTAATTTAGAAAATCATGTTACGTTTACCTTTAACATGCAATATTCATATAAATCTCATATCTTATAATCATTAATAACCATACGCATATTGGATCAGTTCCTTTACCAAAAAGTACTGTCGCAATGGTGATGATATCAGAGGGTAATACCATGGTATTTTATGATTACCATGAATAATCCTGGTAATGCCTTTTGGACTTCTTTTTGTTTGAATTATGGCAGCTGAAGTCTCAGCAGCTCTATTTAATGCTATTCAATCTACAGAGGAAGACAGACTAGACTATGTAGACGATTACCAGGACCTCTACACTACCTCAGAGACTTTGGACATTGAGCTCTTCCAGATCCCCTCTGTTGGGCTGTTTGCTGCTAATTTAGAAAATCATGTTACGTTTGCCTTTAACATGCAATATTCATATAAATCTCATATCTTATAATCATTCATAACCATACGCATATTGGATCAGTTCCTTTACCAAAAAGTACTGTCGCAATGGTGATGATATCAGAGGGTAATACCATGGTATTTTATGATTACCATGAATAATCCTGGTAATGCCTTTTGGACTTCTTTTTGTTTGAATTATGGCAGCTGAAGTCTCAGCAGCTCTATTTAATGCTATTCAATCTACAGAGGAAGACAGACTAGACTATGTAGACGATTACCAGGACCTCTACACTACCTCAGAGACTTTGGACATTGAGCTCTTCCAGATCCCCTCTGTTGGGCTGTTTGCTGCAATGGCTCATCGGGCTAACAAACCGGGCTCTGCCATCTACCGCTGGAACCACGGCCACTTCCAGCTCTACCAGAACATCAGCACCTTTAAAGCCCAGGCATGGAAGCAATTCACTGTAGGGCGGAAGGTGAGAAAAGACAATAATGTTGTCAAAGTCTAAAACTTTTAAGTGGTGCAGCTGTCAATTAAAAATTTTCCAAACACCATGAATATTGACTTTACACATAATTATCATTTCAAGTTAATCAGATTAAAAAAAAATCCTTTTAAAACCAAAGTGTCTAATATGTAAAAAGAAGATATTAGAAGATATTAGTCCGCCAAATCAAAATCACTGTACCGATTTTGATTTGGCGACTAAGGTTTTTCAAATATTAGTATTATTTAGGCATTTCTTTATTTTCCAAGAATTTCAGCATTTACATTTTTCAGTTATATCACCTAGACATTTTTGTTTTAATAATAATTGTCTCTTATTAAAAAATCTTATCATTTTTTATGATATAAAAAAATCATAATTCAGAAAATAATAGTTCAAAATATATAAAAAAAAATAATAATTTAAAAAATATCATCATTAATTTTAAATAAGAAGTTGAAAGTGTAAAATGTTTTTTGAAGTCAGTCTTAAAAAAAGGGTCACATCAGTGACATTGAAACATGCTAAAGATGCTGTTAAACAGGCAAAGGTTGTACAGTGCAGCTGTAGTGAGCAATGATTGGCATTTCATTAGGAAAGAATTACTGGCAGAAAAAGCCTGAGGTGAGGCAGTAAGAACTGCGACTGGATTAACAGATACACTAGACAGACATAGTTCAGTACCATGAGTGTGATCTGCATGTTTTCCACTCAATCATGCATAGAGCCACAGAGAACAAACGTATGCAATAACTTTAAATCACTAGTGTAGTCAATCACAGAAATTAATTTGAAGTCTGATGCTGTCCCTTCCCTGAATGAATCATTTTTACACATCTGTCTGTCTGCAGTGGAATTGTTTAGTCTTAATTATACCACACAGATCTTGAATTATAAAGAATAGGAAGCAATAAAAGTTCTTTGTTGAAACCTGCAGCCCCTTACGACTATAATCATCATCATTATATCACAGAGTTTGTATTTATATCAGTTAAAGCATCACTAAACTCGTCGGCTGAGTGAAATTATGACACATACTAGGCTATATATCTACCACCTGATCTTCACACTGTTCTAAATTTAGTGAGCTGGATTCATGATAGCCAAATGACGGGCTGACTGATAAGCGTAACTCTATCTCTGTTTGTCTGTATCAGGCTCATTTATCACTGTGTGTGTTGTATGTGTGCCAGATGTTCTTGGCGGTGTCGAACTCCGTGGGCCCAGTGGACGGAGAACGAGAGCTGTCTGTGATCTATCGGTGGAGAAATAAGAGGCTGAAGTTTGTGCGTTATCAGACCCTGGAGACGCACAGCGCTCGTGACTGGGAGGCCTTTCATATTAATAATGAAGCTTTTTTAGCTGTGGCTAATCACAGAACAGGTTGATCCAACAATGGTGTACTGGGGCTGAACCAAGTGTTTCCTCGGTGCCTAGCTAGGCTTATACATAACTGTCCTAGAATACTGTTTAATGGTTCTCAGTTAACCCCACGAAAAATATAAATTCATACTTAGCAGCATCATGTCTTTCCAAGCCCATATGGCTTTCTTTGGAAAGTGCATCACAAAGTATTTGACATTTGAAGATACGTTTGCCATACAATGAAAGAATATTGTATGGAAGCCTGTTCAGTCATAGAATAAAAAAATAAAATAAGTAATTGCGACTTTTTATCTCACAATTCTGAAATTTGTCTCGCAATTTTGAGTCACAAGTGTGAGATATAAACTCTGACTTCTGAATTCCGACTTTCTGTCTCGCAATTCTGAGTTTACATCTCGCAATTCTGTGTTTATATATCACAATTCTGACTTTTTTCCTCTGAAATCTGAGTTTACATCTCGGAAGCCCATTTCTGCCATGGAAAAAAAATAAAAATAAATAAAAGTAATTGCGACTATTTATCTCTCAATTCTGAATTTATATTTCACTATACTTTGACTTTTTTCTTGTAATTCTGAATAAATTTAGAATTGTGACATTTAAACTCAGAATTAATATAAACACGCAATTCTCAGAATTGTGAGGTTTAAAAAAGAAAACACAATTACCTTTTTTATTGCATGGTGGAATAAAAGACAGTTGTGGGATGTAAACTCAGATTTCTGAGGGAAAAAAGTTGAGATATAAAAAATTGCGAGATATAAAAAAATATAAATTGTTAGATGTAAAAGTGAAACCGCACGAGTCTGTATCTCACAATTCTAACTTTTTTTTCTCAAAAACTCATTTATATCTTGCTATTAAATCTGTACAGTTACACTTTTTTCCTCTAAAACAAATTTTTACTCTTATTTGTGATCAAATAAATGCACTCTTGGTTAGCATAAGAGACTCATTTCAAGTACATAAAAAATTAACACTTTAGATTGGTAGTGTATGGACTGATAAATTTGGAGCCTCTGGTGCAGTTCAGTAGATTTTTATCAGCATTTCATTTTGTTACTGCTCTTAGGTGCCAGTAGTTAAATTTATTATAATATTATAACCCTTACATTATGTTCCCGTCATCCCTTTTAGAGAATGGCAATCACAACATTGACAGCGTTGTTTATAAGTGGAACCCAGGCACCAAGACGTTTGAGGTGAACCAAACCATCTCGACATCAGGAGCTTATGACTGGGAATTTTTCACCGTAGGGCCCTACCACTTCCTAGCAGTGGCCAATGCATTTGATGGCACCTCCACCCAAACAGATTCATCCATCTACATCTGGCTTGGTGGAGCCTTTCAGCTTTTTCAGACTATAAGGGTGAGTTTAGAAAGCATGTCATTTCAAAATGCCTGTGATGGACGCGAGGCACTGGAACTTTCTGATGGCTTAAAATCAAATGGATCATTCTGAAACTTGATGATCATCTAGAATTTATTTACTTTGAATGGAAACACGGGTGTAAATGGGGTACATTTCTATCCCCAGTTGCACAATAAGAATTATATTGCAGGTAAATGAAGTGGAAAATCATAACAAATGAAAAAAACGATGAATGATTGACTCATGTAGGTGTTTACCAGTTGCAGCATGTTATTTTAAAGTTACCTGACACCTGTTCTCACAGAATCTCCTTGGGGCATGTAGTATTGCTGGGGTTGTTTAAGTATAGCTTTAACCACTGTAAAAGTGGTTGAACTAGGTATTGCAGTTCAAATTCAAAATATTGGAGAGGGTTTTTTTCACCCGGCCCCTCCTCCTCAGACTTGACACACACGCAGGTTGCCAGATTGATGACACCAACAGGAACGAGCGCACCTGACGATGGAAAGCATCGAGCCTTACACTGTAAGTTGATCAGCTAATTTATACGTTTGCAATATTTGTATTATTTGCAAATTATAAACCACCTCATGTGGATTTTTACCTGCAAACATATTATGGTATTTTTATGCTTTAGTAGAGTCAAAAACTTACATACAGCACCTTTAGAGGAAAGATAAGATATAGTCTATGTCTATTTATGTGTATTGGGCTTGGGAAGATGATTTCTGATAAATATCATTTAAAGGAACAGTTCTTTCTTCCATTAAACCCAGGAAAGCTTAGAAACTTGTTGGATCTGATGGATTTTTAAATTATTTTTTTTAAATAAATCTCAAGTGGAGGGTGACCCTCCAAAATAAATAGTTCAGGCTTTAAAATGAATAAAAGTAGTTCAAACAATTTGATGTTCAAATTGATAATATAAGTCACCATCCATTTTCTTTGTATGGAAAATAGCAGCTTGGAAAAGTCCTTTTTTGGTTTCACAGAGAAGATAAAATTAGGGTGATAATGGCAGAATTTCGTTGGAATATTTTATTTTATATAAAAATAAGCAATCCGGAAGTCAGATGAAAAAGTAATGGCTGCTTTTATTCAAGTCTATAAAAATGTGAAACATTTTTAATCATTGTTGAATTTTTTCTAAATCACTGATCCAAAGTCAACAGACTTAACAAGGCAGACTTATTACTGCTTGTGATGTTTTCAGCCGTTTCTGATGGGAATTTCCCCATGTGCAGATGTGTTTTATTGGGGAAAAAAGAACAAGAAGAGGTTTTTTTTGTTAATATCAATCATCAATCGTTTAGATGATGTTACACTATAATTAAAATCTTGGGATCCTACCATCTAACAAAATCAAAGTCATATATCACAGTGATGTGATATGGATCTCATGAAGTTTTGGATGCAGTCAGTGTCAATTCAGCAAGACTGTGTTTCCCAAAAATGTGTCAGACGCTACAACTTTCTTAACCTAGTATAGAAATACTTCTGAGGTTTAACTTCTGCTTATCAGAAATGGTGTAAGCAGCCTTTTACCTCGACCTTCTAAACATTTTAAAGGCAATGATAAAAGCCATGGCAGCATGAGTGTTTTGGAAAACTTATTATTATTACCAGACCAAATCTATTTTTCTTTCTCAACATACATTTGTTCATTTCTCTAGACATTTGGGGCTACAGACTGGGAGATGTTTCAGATTGGAAACAGAGTCTTCCTAGTTGTTGCTAATGGACACATGCTGTGTGAGAGAGGACCAAGCCTTTATACCATCAACTCAACTATATATGAACTTGATATGACAACCAAGATGTTCCTCAAATTCCAAGACATTGTAACATACAGGTAAGGCCTGAACTATAAACGTTTTTGGGGGGTTGAATCAATAATTATCCACATTTTTTTTTTTACTTGATTTCCTCATGTATGGCAGTGCGGTGGATTGGGAATTATTTTCTGTTGGAGATGAGCACTTCTTAGTCGTAGCCAACTCTTATGATGGATCATCTTACTCTTTGAACAGTGTTATATACAGGTAATGATTGAAAGCTCAAACGTTATGCACAGATCATAACTCACAACTTCATTTAAATACACACGCTGTAGCACTTCAGATGGGTAAACTGCATTGCGGGTGGTTAGTGAACAAGACAGGCGTTTGTGCTGATACCACATGTACAACTTTTCAAATCTGACTTTCTGTGAAAATCTCTTAACTGCACAAAATTGGCAGACAGGCTATGACTTCGGGAGCTAGAGTGAACTCTTCCTGATTGTAAATCGTGGGAAAAAACTGGGCAAAAACCATACTGCACTGTATAGTGTACTGTATATTTCAAATATTATACAGTACATTTGGGAAGATATTACTTTTTTCTATCCCATCCTTCCTTCCACACTTTAATGTAAGAGATAAGTAAACCTATATAAAAGTCATGGTATCACTTAAAAAAATCTGATTTTCTGATATACAACAACTAAGCCTATAGGATAAGACTTATCTGTAAATGGTGTTCAACTGTTATTTTCTCAAATATTATCAGGATAATATGGAAGCCCATTTTTACCTTGGATTTAAAAAAATTGAGAAAAGGTAATTTTTCTCAAAATTAATATCTTACAATTGAGTTACAAGAATTACAAGATATGCAAACAGAATTCTGACTGACTTTTTCGCAATTCTGAGTTTACATTTCACAATTGTTTTATTATTATTATTATTATTATTATTATTATTATTATTTGTGTTTCCATCACGGTATAAATAACAATTAAAAAAAAAAAAAAAAAATTAAATGATCTCACAATTCTGACATTTTTCTCACAACTGCAAGTTTATATCTCACAATTCTGACTTTATCGCTCACAATTCTGGCTTTTTTTTTTATAATTCGGAGGGAAAAAAAAGTCCAAAAAGAAATATAGTCAGAATCGCAAGAAAAAAAAATCATAATTATGAATTATTTACCTTTTTATTTATTTTTATTTTATTCTGAGGAAGAAATGGGCTTCCATATAGAATAAGATTACAGTATAACAGTGCTATAAACTATAATGAATATTGCAGCAAATGAAGATAGATTTCTTCTTCAGTTTTATTGTTTTTGTCCCTGATAGATGGCAGGGATATGAGGGCTTTGTTCCTGTCCATCGGTTGCCTACTATTGGATGCAGTGACTGGGAGTTCTTTACCTCAGCAGAGGGTCCATACCTGATGTACTCCAGTGCCAAAGCACCTCTCTCCAAAGTCTTCAAGCTGAGGATCCACTGAGGGCACAAACAATAGTTCAGTTTTTGCTTATTTTTAACTCTTCACCCCAGAGTTTAGGGGTAAGATGGGCTGAAAAAGACATTCTGATATTTCATCACTATTTAAAGAATTAGTTTGTCAAAAATTAACATTCTGTCATCATTTACTTACTTCTGAAGAGTATTCTGGCCTCTCTAATCAATATAATGAGTTATGAGCGCTTTCGAAACTCTGCTTGATGAAGCTTCGAACTTTTATGAATCTTTTTATTCGAATCGATTCGAAGCTAAGCAAGTTTCGACCAGTGGGTGTGTGAATCATTTTCGAAGCAACTGGTACAGCTGCATCACCACTACATATAATGTAAGTTAATGAGGACTGGTTCTATCAATCTCCAAAACGCCCAAATAAAGTCTGAATTTCTAGGGCTAGCGTTCATGAGAGACGTAGCGATTCTAGCGACTCAATGCGTGAATTCATTGAATCGGTTGATCCAGTTGATCCAGCGAATCGGATTCGAGTTCAACTTACTGTTAACTGTTAAGATTTCTATTAGCGATTTTGGCTTGTTTGTCCAACGAAGATGTTGATAAATTCAGAATTCAAAAGACTTGAATATAGCGTAGGGTCATATACGCTTCTGTAAGTTTGAAGCTTGACAGCCCAATTCCTGATTCACTTTATATGGATGGAGCGGCCAAGATATACACTTAAAAAACATCAGGTTTTTGTATTCTGTGTAAAAACAAAGCCATACAGTGTTGGGACAACATGAGAATTACTTTATTCTTACGGCATAAAATCATCTCTTGCAGAGGAGCTGTTCCATCTCGGACCGGATGAATTAGGATGTCTGGCTGACAAGGACAAACCAGAGGCAAAGGTGTGTATGAATGTGTGTAAGAGAGGGATGAACAGAAGGCTCTATAAGTGTTTCAGAGGACCAGATGAATAGATGTTTCTTGTTCTGTGTGATCTCAGGTCCGTGTGATTCCTCTGGAGCTTCAGAGACTGTGTTCTCATCTGTTGCTGGTGGATGAAAAAACAGCCTCCACATCAGATCTGACTGACAGTTTTGGCTGGACGAACAATGAGGTACAAAGTCTTTGTGATCTTTACTTACTGTCCATTTAGCAGGTGTTTCATCTAACAGTGACTGATTGCGAAGACAGTCCCTTTGTAATCTGGGGTTAAATGGTTCCCCAGGGTCGCATGGGTCACTTTGGGTAATAGCATCTATGATGCAACTGAATTATCTTGCTCAAGGCAAAATCAGGAACCGTTCATTTTGCTACTACACCTTTAAGAAATTCCCCCTTCCACCTCCAGTTTAACCAATTTACTCTGGTTTGAGGAGTCAAAATGTGTATTTGTAGATCAAACAGAGGCTTGGAAAACAAACAGTTTCCACATAAAGAGTTTGGTTAAAGTTAAACTGAAATGATCAGGCAGCTTGTTTAAAATCTTTCATCTTATGTTTTGATTTCGTCTTTAGGAAATGGGTCAGCAGGATGTGCAGGAGCTGAACCGGATCCTGTTCAGTGCTCTGGAGAGCTCATTAGTAGGCACTTCAGGCAGCAGTCTCATACACCGGCTGTACCATGGGACGCTTGTCAACCAGATCACCTGCAAAGAGTGCGGCAATATTAGTGAGAGACAGGTCAGAAAGGAGAATGTTCCCTCCTGTGTTTCTCTACTTATTTTTGCTTCCAGCAGTCCAATTTGTGACAACTTTAAATATAACCAGCACAAAAACAGTACATATTTATTATTTATGATACACCATGTGAAAGAAATTAATAATTTGATTTAGCAAGGACACATTCATTTGACCAAAAGTCACAGTAAAGACATTGATGTTACAATTGATTTAAATTTGAAATAAATGCTGTTTTCAAGCAAAACAACTGTTTTCAACATTGAAATGTTTTTTTTAACACCATATCAGCATATTAGAATGATTTCTGAAAGATCATATGACACTGATGTTTTAACTTCCTTGCTATCACAGAAAAAAATTACATTTTAAAATATATTAAAATAGAAAACAGTTTTTTTTTTATTATAATAATATTTCACATTATTACTGTTTTTACTTTATTGTTTTTAAAATAAATGCCTCGATGAGCATAGAAGACTCTTACTGCCCCCAAACTTTTCAACAGTTGTGTATATATGCATCTCACTATCTTTCTGTTCTCTCAGGAGGACTTTCTGGACTTGACCGTATCAGTGCGTAGTGTAAGTGGCCTAGAGGAGGCGCTGTGGAACATGTTTGTGGAGGAGGAGATGTTTGAGGGTAACAATCTGTACCGCTGCAGCAGATGTGACCAGCTGGTTAGGGCCGCTAAGGTCAGTCAATTCTCAGAACTCAAACTCTTTTTATCTGAGTTAAAGGGGTCATATGATGCGATTTAAATTTTTCCTTTCTCTTTGGAGTGTTACAAGCTCTTGGTGAATAAAGAAGATCTGTAAAGTTGCAAAGACTAAAGTCTCAAATCCAAAGAGATATTCTTTATAAAAGTTCAGAGTCAGCCACACCTACCTAAAACGGCTCGTTCTAACACGCCCCCCACATATCTACCTCACTGTGGGAAGATTTGCATAACGGCGCCCAAATGTTCACGCAAAGAAAGAAGGCGTAACTTTTAGTCTCACTGTAGTTTTGTTGACAATAATGTTCTTTTTAGCAGCATCATATGACCCCTTTAATACTGTTAATTTGTCCTTCGAGGCCTTACACAATGGAGATTTTTTGCAAAATCTCCAATTAGATATTTATTTAAAGGGGTCATGTCATTTTTATTTTTCATTATTTACCCTGAGGTATACTACTGTTCAAAAGTATAAGGTCTGTAAGATTTTTTTTCATGTTTTTGAGTTGCCTCTTTTATGCTCACCAAGGCTGCATTTAACTCATTAGAGATACAGTAAAACCAATAATGTTTTGAATTATTGTTACAATTTAAAATAACTGTTTTCTAATTTAATATAATGTAAAATGTCATTTTTCCATGTGATGGTAAAGCTGAATTTTCAGCATCATTATTCCAGTCTTCAGTGTCACATGATCCTTCAGAAATCATTCTAATTTGCTGATTTGGCACTCGAGAAACATTTCTTATTAAAGTTGTGCTTAATATTTTTGTGAAAACCATGTTGCATTTTTTTTCAGGATTCTGTAGATATAGTTATGGGTCAAGGAAATTTGATTCCTCATGTTACATGATCCCTATTAAAGGGGTCATATGATGCTTTTTTAAAGATCAATATTTTGAGTATTTGGTGTAACAGAATATGTTGACATGATTTAATGTTCAAAAAACACATTCTTTTTCAAATACTGTACATTATTGTAGGTCCTCTATGCCCCGCCTCTCTCAAACGCCAGCTTGTAACACTCCAAAGAGAAAGGAAAACTTGAAATCGTATCATATGACCCCTTTAACATGTGACTGGCACTAAACCGTTATTCTAGATTCTAATTCAGATGAGTCGACTGTAGTTGGTTATAAAACTTCTTAATTTTGTCTTTTGTTGCAGTCTGCAAAACTGAGAAAACTTCCACCATTCCTGACCATTTCCTTGTTGAGGTTCAACTTTGACTTTGCCAAGTGTGAGCGCTACAAAGAGACTGGGAGCTACGCTTTTCCTCTTACATTCAACCTCAGACCATTTTGTGAGCAGGTACCAGAGCCGAATCACACACAAATACATTTTCCAAACTCTCCAGCCAAGTAAGATAAATCTGTGTTATTATTGAAGATTCTACACTGAACAGAGTATGATATCTGGTCATGTTTTGTAGAATGCACTGCAGGATCAGAGTTACCATCCTGTTAGCAGCTGTTGAGAACGTTTAGATTGTTATCCCAGATTCATCAAGCAGAGACTAACTTTTTAATCGCTAGTAAACTAGAAGCACAGGTCTAGAGGGAGAGCTAAACTGACCACAGCAACTCAATTTCAAAGCAGAGGATTAACACGTGTTGTGCTTCTGACAGAACAATTGGCCAGACTCGGAGTATTCGTACGAGCTCTTCTCCATCATCATACATAAAGGAGGTTGTTATGGAGGTCATTATCATGTCTACATAAAAGACATCGATCAGCTCGGCTACTGGGAGGCACCGGTTAGTCTTTTGGTTTTTATTGCAGTGTCTATGTATGGTTCGATGACAAGTAATTTCTATTTGTGATTTTTTTTTTCTTAGGAGGAAGAGGTAAAAGTGAAGCCGAAAACCCAGAAACGAGAGGACAAAGTCGGAGAAAGAAAGAAAGAGAGTGAAAATTCTGTTGATGCAGAGGATCCTCTCTCTGTACTTACTGGCATTCTGGCTCAGGTACGCCGTTACACCATTAAACTCTACAGTTATGCAGGACTGTAAGTAGATGTTTGAGATATTATTAGCACTTTTTGATTTGTTGCAGTTATTTAGCGTATAGAACGATGAACCCTCATTTGAATCAAGAAAATGTCATTTTATTTACTTCACAGATCAGTGAAGAGAAATGATGGACATATTCTATGTTTTGAAATGCAGGACAACTGTAATAAATATTTCTTAAATTTTGCGGGCATAAAATTTCACATGCTGATTTTCACTTGTTTTTTTGTTAGGAGGAGTCAAAATGTGTGCTTGTAGACCAGCTGGGCCAAAAGCTGATGAATAAAACGGGCACGCCATGGAGCAAAAAATATAAAAAACAGTATGGCACCATCAGCAAGGTTGGGGTTTTGAAGTTGTATATTATTCTTCACACTATAGTAATACACTAATGTTAAAAAGTTTGGGGCCAAGGAGTTTTTTTTTTAATTTTTTATTTAAATTAAAACTTTTTTTTAAAACTTATTCAGCAAGAATGCATTAAATGAATCAAAAGTAACAGTAATATTTATATTTCAAACAAAGGTTGTTCTTTTGAACTGCCTATTCATCAAGTCCAGAAAAAAGATATAAAATAAATGCAGCCTTGGTGAACATAAGAGACTTCTTTCAAAAACATAAAAAATATTTTTTTAATGGTATTGTATGTTTATCCACAGTGAC